GGGACCTGAGAGCCGAGCCCCGCCCCCCCCCCCCCGCCAGAGGAAGCTCCTGCTCCTCTCCAGTCCCACCCAGTGCTGGCACCCCTGAGCAGTGGGGTACTGCCCTGGGGGCTCGGCACAGCCCCTCGCCAGTCCCACCACCACCAGATCTCCCATCAAGCCAAGTAGCTGGCCCTCCAGCTCCGGGTGGGAGCCAGTCACGGCCGCCTCTGGCCCCAGAGCCACCAGCCTTCTCCTGGGCTCCAGCCCCCCGACCACGTGCTGCCCGGCACAGGCAGGGTGGGCGCATTCACCTTTCCATCCTCCTTCACCCTCCTCCTCCGCTCCTCGAAGGGGCTGGAACGAGCCGAGTCAGGGGTGAGGGTCTCCGTGCTGCCCTGGGAGGGACCGGCCACTCTCAGTGGGGTGAAGGACGACACCAGCCCCAGGACCCCCGCCTGGTGCGAGGCAGGAGTGGAGGTGGGAGACCCGGACACTGAGTAGGTGCCGCTGACACCTGAGGCAGCTTCAAAAGAAAGGGCCATCAGGAGGGTGAGGGACACCAGGACTGCTCCTGGGGGCCGGGGCACTCGCAGGAGAGCAAGGCTCCTGCCCCAGACCGGCCTCCTCGGCAGGTCCAGCAGGTTCGGTCATGGCCGGGACCCTGTCTCCAGGTGCCAGCCGGGGATTGTCAGGAGCAAGGGAGGAGAAATGCATGAGCTGGGCACTTCTGGGCCCTTCCAGCACTGTTTTCTGCGGTAGCATGATACAAAGTCATCAAAACCTGAGCAGCTCTGGAATCAAAAGCCGTGCCGCTCTGGCAGAGTCTATCCCTTATTGTCATCAGCAGTTCCCCCACATCTGCTCCCCCCGGCAGGCTGGGCTGGTCCAGCTGGCTCCAGAGACTTCACATCAGGCACTTCTGCTTGCTGACCACAGAACCCCTGTCCAAGGACAATTATTTCTCCCGGGACAACTTGCTACCAACACACAGGAGTCCTTATGGGCATCTCAGCAAATCATTGCAGGGAGGAACTTGGACCCCCCACCTGCAGCCAGACTCTCCCAGGCGGGGACTTGATGCTTTCCACCCGTAACTCTGTCCCCCTCGGTCCCTGCTGTGGCCACTCTTGCTCTCATGGAGAGCCCAGGTCACCTCTGGCTGCCAGCCACGAGAGGCATCTCACACAGAGCGTGGACACCAGCCGTAAAGGCTTCCCGTGCCTGCGAGAGGCACCTGCCTGTCTGCACGGGAAGGTCCCTTAGGAAGAGCACTCCACGGTGCCACTCCTACCCCCTCTGATGGCTCCTGCTGAAACTCAGAGCCACAAGGAACCGGAGGGCAGGAGCGATGCCTGTGGTAGCCCTGCCCCTGGGACTGACCCCTGTCCTGTCCCGGCCCACGGTTCCTCTCCTCCCCTTACCGGAGCTGTGCCGTGAGCGGGAGCCCTCCTGGGGAATGCCGTCGCCGCTGACCAGGGAGTAGCCGTCTATCAGCTGCCGCTGCCGCCGCTGCTCCTGCAGCTCCTCTTCCCTCTGCAAGTCACTCCGAATCTCCTTCTCGATCAGCGCTGACGTCTGGGGCTTCCAGGTCCGCAGCTTGTACTGCTCCTCCTGGCCATCATCCCTCCTTAGTGGGTTCTGCGTCCCCATGTCGTCCACAAAGGAGACCTTGGGCTTCCAGAAGGAGAAGGAGAAGTACTCTCTGGGCAGGACAGCTGTGCCGGCAGGGCTCAGGGTGGAGCCGGGAAGCCTTCCTCCCCAGGAATCCTCGCTCCCCCATTTGCTGGTGCTGGCGGAAACGTGCTGGGACACCAAGGGCTGGTCCTGGCTCTTCTCGCTGGCAGCAAAGCGCGGCTGGGACGCCTGGAAGTGCGTGATGCTCGCTGCGTAGCTGGGAAGTCTTCTCCCACCCCTGGTGGCTTCTGCGGGGCAGGGGCCATGGCTTGTGGGCTGCTCTGCTGCAAACTCATTAATCGAGGTCCTCCACTCATCTGCGTTCTTCATGGGGGTGGGCTTCTGCGGGGGGGCTTCCTCCTGCTCGAACACCCTCCTGCGCTCATCCAGCTCCTGCTGCGTCCCCCTGTCATACATCCCCAGCAGCCTCCCTTGCTTCTTCAGATCTTCCTCGCGCTTGGTTTCCTGCTCGATTTCCCTCTGGACGTAAAGGGAAGCACGGCCTTTGTCCTTCCCTTTCCTGCCTGGGCCGGGAGAGGCATGCATGGAGAGGAGAGGCTTGGTCTGGATCTCCACCAGCTCGCTGCTGGATGTCAGCCGCTGTATCCCCCTCTCCTTCCAGAGGCTCTCCTCCCTCTCCATTGCCATGCGGATCTCCCGCTCGATGGGCGTCTCGTTGCTGATCTTTGTCTCCTTGTCCAGACCATTGCTGCTGGCCCTCAGATCCACAGGGCCATTGAAGGTCTCGTTGGATGTGCTTCCATCACTGGCATAGCCTGTGTTGGCTTCATTATACATCTCACCCAAGCCGGAGTCCAGGTCCTCTCTGGAAGATTCTTTAGTCAAGCTGGACATTTTCCCGGTGGGATATGACCTTTCAGTTTCAGCCCTTCTGGGAGCATGAATCTCCTCCTTCACAGGTGTCTTGTAGGACACATTATAAACCTGATAAACAGTCTTGTCCGTCCTGCTCTGGCTGGATGCACCGGCATTACCGTAACCTCTCGCAGCCTTCGTGGCCATCTCAGGACTGTGCCACTCTTGCGTAGAGACTTTTGTCATTGACTCTGGCTTTGGAGACATGGCCTGTTGCCCTGGGCTGAAAAAAGAGCCTGGGTTGGTCTGCTCCAGCAACAGGAACTGCTGCCGAGCAGCGGAGAAGTTGATCTGCTCCGTGTCGATATTTTCAGGGTCAACAGGCGTCGCTGCCCTGCTCGAGGAAGGCTTGTCAAAGCAAATGGCAAAGCTGGTGGTGAAGTTGCCCCTGTGCCTGCCTTCACCCTGGCTGCCCATGCCAGTGTTTATGGAGCTCAGCTCATCCATGGAACTCCACCTCTCGGCCACGGTGGAGCTCTTCCTCACCACCTGGCCCCGGATGACCTCCCTCCTCTCATCCTCAAGCTCCCTGGCTTTCTCGGGTGAGACGCTCGGTGGAGGGACCCTGTACTGTTCCTGCTCATCCTCATCGTAAAGCTTCGAGGGTTTCCTCTCGCCTTTGTAAGCCCTGACGTCGTACAGGCTTCCCGACGTCACCACCTCCAGCTTGGACTCCCTGTCTGGGGATGGGGTCCAGACATCCTTTCCACCTTCCAGGAAATACAAGGATGACTTTGACCTCGTTTTCCAGCCATAGCCATTTTCCACCCTCTGGCTGCTGTGTTGAATGGAATCAAACATGTCGTCATCGCTATTGGCCCTCTGCTCCGCAAACGAGCCAGCTTGGTGAGCATCGTTATGGTCATGCTTGTGCGAGGTCTGCGGGAGCTGGAAGACCAGATGCCTGGTGACTCTGTCCATCTCTTGGGAAGAGTCAGCATTCAACCCTCTGCCAACCTCACCCTGGACCGGGGACGCTGCTCAGCTTCGAGGTCACCCTCGGGCTTCCAGCTCACCTGAGGACGAGGGGCAGGACCCGGCTGGCCCTGCAAGCAGGAGGGGAGAGCAGCCGTTAAGAGCAGCAGAAGGAACAGAGGTTGGGAGCGTGCAGCTCCCTCTCCCAGCCTGGTACTGCTGTCCTTGCTTGGGCAGCGTCAAAGAGATACCTGCACCCAGCGGACAGACACCGCTAACACAAACCAGCCACATCCCAGCAGTCATTCGCTCCATTTACCCAGAAACACCAGGTCTTGGACAGAAGCAGCCAGAGCACAAAGCACCATTCCTGACGGGAACTGCCCCGAAGCTGACGTCCCCCTCCCACCTCTGTCCCCCAGTCTGGCCGCATCCTGAGACGAGCCGCACCACAGCCACGAGCGAGCAAAGCCAAACCTTCTGCAGGCAGCCAGCGTCACCCGCACCACCAAGAGGGCAGCGGTGCTGTGAGACTGTGGCTGCGCCAGCCTCCGCCACTGCCCCGGGCAGCTCTTGCCTGCTCCAGCACGGCTGCCCTGGTGCCTTACCGCGCACACCAGGCAGGGAGGGACCACCAGCAGCACCGGGAGCATCAGCTTGTGACAGGGAGAGGTGTCGGCTGTGCCAGGTCCACCTCCGCCTGGACTTTCCCCTTGCGCATTTACAGGAAGGAGGCTCCAAATAGCCGAGCTATTGAAACAACGGGGATCATAAAAATGGTTTCATGGCTCATAAAAAGGAGGGGACTTTAACCCCTGTATCACACAAAGCGAGAGTAAACTGCCCTGACCTTTGTGTCGATCCTCCTGTGCTAACGGGGCCTGAGCTAGATGGGACAGCGGGTGCCAGGGAAGGGAGGAGCAGCGCAGGTGGGTCCCTGCGAGACAGCAGCTCTCGCCACATTGCAAGCGCCATCCCCATCCCAGTCCCTGTGCCAGCAAGACACATGTAACCCCGGGGCGAGCCAGGTGTGCCTGCTGGCAAGCAGCGCATCCTCTCCCTGTATGCCCAGGCATAGCCACAACCCTGCTGTCGCTGCTCCTGGCTGGGATCGCATAAGCCCGGGCAGGTCAGGGGTACATCAGTGCCGGGCACCACTCCCCAGCCGCTCGCAGCCTCCTGGGAGCATGTGGTGAAGCCGAGAGCAAGGCTGCGTTGATGACGGGCAGCCCAGAGCCCGGGTGCTATGGTACGGGTGAGCACGGCTCGGGGTCAGGCTCCCCTGGATGGAGACAGACAACCATGGGTCCCTGCACCTGAAGCAGCCCAGCTCATCCCCAGGGCAGATGCACTGTGCCCTGGATGTGCCTCCTTCCCTGCAGCAGCACTAGTGACATTGCTCCCTCTGCTCACCTCCCAGCTTGCCCGGGCTGCACCCTTCCTCCCAGGGGGGGACAAACAGGGCTGACCCTGTGGCTGAGGAGCCATTTAAGCCTTTCCGGGGGCAGGAGCACCTGGGTCTCGTCAGGGGCAGCTGGGGCAAACTGGGCCAGCCCCAGGGTGATGCCCATCACCATGGTGCTGCAGCCCAGCTCCGTGCCCAGCCCAGGTGGTTCAGCATTGCCGCCTGTAGCAGGAACTGGGGCTGGGAGCTATTGCAACCGCCAGTCCCGATGCGCCGTGCCCAGCTGAATTTCTGTAACCTCTTCGTGTTCCTACCTGGAATTCACTATTGCTCTTTTATGGCCCCTGATGACCTGGATAGTGAAAACTATCTGCCCACATCTCTTATCATGTTTGGAGGGGTCAGAGGTCCCTGCTAGGAGGGGACTCCTCTCTGGGGAGCGCTGGTGGCCAGCACAGGAGGGGAGCGAGGAGGGGGAAACCAGCAGGGCTGTTAATCAGGGCTCCTGGCTGGCACAGCCCCTCCCAAAGCAGCACCCACAACTATCCGACTGCCTCAGCTTGGCCCCCAGCTGCCCGGTGCTGCAAGAGTATGGGGGTGTGGGGGTCCCAGGCTCGTCCCCCCTGTGCCAGCCTGCCCGCAGCCCAGCCAACCAACACGGGGAGCTGCTGGGCAGAGCAGGTGGTATTGCAGCACCTGACAGCCTGGCTTGGGCCACCCCCCACCATGAAGTGACATCTAGGGAGTTTTCCAGGGTCCCCCCACCCTGGGGGTCCTGCAATGGCCTGCAGACCTGCAGCGCGCCCACCCCCCTGTGCCACCAGCCACGTGCACTCCCAGACCTGCCGACGGGCGAGACGTGCATGAGTGTGCCGCCGGCAGCCCCTCTGCCTGCCCACCGCAGATAGAGCCAGCGTGCATACGCACGCCCTCGCTGTGGCCAGACCCTGCATGGGGAACCAACCCTCCGAGGCTGGGGGGGTGGAACGGCCGCCCCGAGCACCCCGGCACTGCCCTCGCCCCCGCCCCGACCACACTGCACTTACTGTCCGGGGGAGCCGTCGGGGCGGGGGTCCCTATGCCCCGGGGAAGCCGCACGGGGCACCCAGCTGAGCCGTGTCTTGCCAGGGAGTGTCTGGGGTGGGCGGCAGTGGGGCGTGGTGGCCACGGGGCTGGCAGGGCTGCGGAGCCCTGATAAGCTCAGCTGGAGCCCGTGGGGAATTCCAAGAACTGTGCTGGGCTCAGTTCTGGCTGCGGTTCAATGACCCGTTTCCCAACACCCCCCCACACCCCGCGCCACCGTCACCCCGGCTGCAGCTGACTCCCACGCCCAGAGGGCTGCCCTTGGCCCCCAGCCTGCGGCACGCACCGACGTGCCAATGTGCTAACACACAAGTGTGCACCAGCATGCACCAGCGTGGGCTCGGCCAGCCGTGGGAAGAGCTCGAGCTGCTGCCCCGGGACAGGCAGTGTCGGGGCAGGGAGGCAGCCTGGGGGTGCACAGCCAAGTCTGCCATCCTTGCAGGCCCCCCCCCCGAGTCCACACTGGGCAGCCCAGGGCAGGGCAGGGTCCCCAGCCCCAGGGGACGCAGTGGTTTCTGCTGGGGAGCATGCGGAGGAGCCCGTGGGCTTGAGCGAACACGGCGGCAGCAGCCGCACCGGCAGCAGCCATGGTGGGAGCCTGCACTCTCCTGTTTACACCGTGGGGCCTCCCCTGGCCTGTCCGCCTGATAACCCCGTGTTTGCGCAGGCATGGCTAGGGTGGGTGCCCTCGCTGCCTTGGCAGCCCTGGCTTTGCCAACCTCACCACCCTGGCAGCCGTGGGCACTCACCTGGTGCTGCCCTCCCTGGCCCCCCGGTCCCTGCCGGCCCCTCGCAGGAGGGACAAGCCCCTGCGCCTGATCCGGAAACCTTGGGCACCCTGTACCTGCCAGGCCAAGGGCAGGACCATGGCACAGTGGCTGTGATGCTCATGACCACAGCTGCTGGACCCCGGCAGAGCGGGTGGCATCGCCAGCACCCAGCACTCAGAGCCACCCTCCCTCCTGGCACAGGGTGTCGCAGCCAAGCGGGCGATGCTGTGCCGGGATGCTCAGCCCTTCGCTGCGCCTGTGTCTGGGGCAGGAGGTCCTTGTCCTTGTCTTCTCTGCCCCACCATGACAGGTCTGCATCCCACCGGAGCCCACTCGTGCCTGAAAACCCCTCCCAGTCTCACCGCTGCCTGCGATGGCCGGAGCACGGTGATGGTGTCAGACCCCGTCTCACCCCAGCTGCCTCTGCCTGGCTGCGGGGTGCCTGGAGGGTCCCACTTACCCCCTGCCCGGCCCCTTGGTGCCCCTGGCCCTGCTCTCTGGGCTGCCGGCTCTGGCACTGGCTGGCCCAGGGACGGCGGTTTCGGTGCGGCTGCCAGGCGGCTCTGCGTTTCCAGGCGGGAGAGTGGAGCCTGTTTTACCATGGGGTTGAGACAAAGTCCACAGGCGATGGCCAGGGAGCTGGGGAGCACACCACGCCTGCAGCAGGGTGTGTGCTCGGCTCCCTGGGCTGGCACCGGGCACAGCCGGGGCCCCACTGTCCCAGGAACGAGACCTGGCATCCCGGCCCTGGGCAGAAGCAGGACCGGGACCAGCCTGGGGGTGGGCAGAGACCCGCAGCCACGTGGTGACGGGACCTGGGGGGCCCTGACCCCAGTGCTGCCCCTTGGGACAAGCAGGAAATCAGGCTGCCACGTCCCCTTCACCTGGGCACGCCAGCCAGCATCACACCTGCATCCCTTTCCTCCCAGCTTCCCAGTTCCCACCCACCTCTTCCTCCCTACTCTTCTGGCGTGGCCATGTGTCCATCACCCCAGTGCCAGGGCTGGCAATGTGGCAGTGCCGGGATGGCATTCCAAGCACACTGCCCTTACCTGTGCCCTGGGCTCCAGGGTGGCACAGAGGACCTGCCACAGCGGAGTGCACCTGAACATCTATCTATCTCCCTTGCCTGGTGTCACTGTCGGTCTGGGGACAGACACCTCTGGGGCAGCATTGGTGGCAGGCGTGTGAAAGCGCCATGCCCCTGCTCGGCTGGCTGTCACCGTAGCCAGGACCCACTAGCCACAGGAGGGAGGAACCAAGGGGATTTATTCTCCTGGCAGAGACCTGAACTGGCTGGATCACAGCCAGCCAGGCAGCTCCTGCCTCTGCCCCGTGCTGGTTGGCTCTGGTGCTGCTGAGGGGGGCAGAATGGGGTGCTCCATGCTGGCAGCAGTGGGTGAGTGTGGGCAGCGTGGGGAGGAGGTGCGGATCCCCCATGTTGCTGCCCGCTGTGCCAGCATCGGCTTTGCTGGGGCTTATAGGTGATGGATCTGAGGCCGGAGCACCAGACAGCCAGGGCAGCACAGGAGGGCTGCCGACCAGAGGGAGGGCTCTGTCACTCCCAGCGACAGCATGAATGCCCCCAGACGTGGCTCTTGCACCCATGAAACAGCCGGAGGCGAGAGGGTGCGGGAAACCTCTGGGCAGGGATGAGAGGAGCCACAGCCCAGGCAGTGAGGGGGCAATGGGGCCCATCCCCAGCATCCCCGTCCCCAGCATCCCCATCCCGGCCCCTTCCCACCCGTCGGGGTGTCGAGCGCAGGTGCCGAGCGTTGGGGTGCCGGCCCCGGTCCCCATGCAGAGGGCAGAGGCGCCAGGCTGGTTGTTCACACAGTTTATTTGCTCGGTTCGGGTGTCTTACAAACAACGGGGAGGGCCGGGGAGGGGGAAAAACTTCAAACGGCTTCGGCACAAGTGAAAAGCACGGGAGCACGGGAAGTGCACTTCAGCGGAGCCAGGCGGGGGGCGGCGGGGGCTGGCCGGGACGGGGCTGGGGTGCACGGCCGGGCTCCTCCGCCTGCTG